TTCCATGTCTCATCGAAGTTGATTGGATGTTTGCAAATTGAAAGCGAAAACAAACGACGCAAAACGCCGAAGGTTGAAAACAAGAAAGAAATGCGTCGTTTCTCGGTCTAATGTAAATCCGAAAAACATTCGCGATTTCGGCGATTGAAATCCAACTTTTAATCTCGTCCGAGAAATCCACGGTGAAAATTGTCGAAAATAAAAAAAAGAACTGGCACAACACCAGTCCCCGCATTGCAAACCGGTCGTGAATCCTCTTTTTTTTCGGTTTTTTTTTTTTTTTTTTTGATGCCACTGTCATCAAAAATCACCATTAAAACTTAGATTCGGTCCCATCTCATTTTTGGGAGTTTCTATGAAACGGCCGACTGTCTAAGCGGCCAGCGTTTCAGGACAGAACATTTATTATTATTATAAAAACGCGGCTTATTACATAAACTGTCGGCCGACTACAAGTTTTCCCCCAAAAAGGCTGGAAAGTTCCCATTCGGCACAACAACGTAGTATCAGCGTTGAGAAAAGGTTGATTTTTCAAGGTAACAATGTTGCCTTAATGTTGAATTGTCAACGTACAATTGAAGTCCCTCCTCCCTTGCCCAGAGCCTGAAAGAGCGTTAATTAGCCGATGAGATTTTAAATATAGATTCGGCAACCTCGTGGAGGGTACACAAGTGGTATGATACAAGCAGTACTACCATCGAGCACACTCATCCCCCGTAAAGGACTCTCAAAGCTCCATCTCATTTACTGGATCAGAATTCGAATTGCGTTCTTCCAAGACTCTCTCCGCCTCGATAGAAGGAAGCAACCCCGCGGGCGCGTTTTCATGCTCCATCCCCTACGGCAAAAAGCCCGAGCGAGTGGATGTGCCGTGTGGAGATTCAGGAAAGTTGAGGATGTCTCCTCGGACCAATTGAGGATGTCTCCTCGGACCCATTGGCCACAAGTACGTTCAGTCCCCTTCTGCCGGATTACCTCACTAAATAGGCCCATCGAAAAATTCCTAAGTCTTCCTTTATGTTGTACGTGGGAAGAGATCGGCTTCAAGATGAGAAATATTGGCTAATTTTTATTTCGGGTCACCAGGGAAAGAACCGCCGAATCGGCGGTTTGGCGCCATCTCGTGTCGATTCGCAGAACCTCTTTTCTGTCGATCTGGTGTGGATAAGTCCACGTAGAAACAACAATGAGATCATGATGGAAAACGAATTTGCGCTTAATAGCCTCTGAACGACTTCGATAATCCACGGGTAGTCACCGAATGCTGAAAATACCAATTATTAATTAATTAATAAATTAATTACCAATCGCTAGCATTTCATCGAAGTTGATTCTTCGTCAAATTCTCAACTTCAACCAAGTCTCAACGTTTCAACCTTTTCTCAATGTTGACACAACGTTGTCGTGCCGAATGGGTTACCTTCGGGTTACCATAAGATACCATAACCTGAGAAGTCGAGACTTTGAATCCAAGGTTTTTCCTCCGGTTTCCCTCTGGAAAGAATCATGCGTTTCGTTCCACTTTTATAGACCCCCGCTCCACAAAAAAGTCCATTTGCAGCCGAATCTCACCGATCGATTATGCTCGTACAGACTGTCGCAAAATTCCGAGAGGGGCTTCACAAATTATAACTCGCGAATCGTGTGAGAAAAAACGCTGACGTTGGCATCAAATGAAATCTCGAAAGTTTCCCGGGGGAATTCTTTACACTCGCATCGACAATTCGTTTCGTCATAGCTTTCATCCGCTACTTCACAGACCCCTCCCCCGCCCCGCCCCGCCCCGCCCCTCCCCCAGGCGACATCGTCATCAGGAGCTGGCATAGCATTTAAAAGGCGGAGGAGGCTTAATGTATCCCCCGTTGACGCAATCGTGACACATTTTAATGCCCCCGCATCGAAATGCGTCGCGAATCACCCGTTCGTCGAGTGCAAGCCTTCAGCTCTTGTTTCCAAACTATCTGTGCCGTCTGCAGCCACGTCACAAAGCATTTTGTCTGTACCGTCTGCTGGCATGCCACCAAGCATTTTGTCTGTGCCGAATCAGAAGAATCAGTTCTATCAATGGTTGATGGAATTCGGGTCGCAGAGAAATCGCCAATTTAAAATCCGCCAGGCACAAGGATCGAGCTTCCTTGTAGTCGCTGTCTCGCTCGCGGCGATGACGTCATCGGATGTTGGATGAAATTAAACTCAGAGTTGAGCTATATTTCGGCTTCAAACTCGGAATTTCACTTCGTAACGTTCGCGGTTTTTATTATTCAATGTTCATGGGATGGAACAATTCTGAACTGACATGATGCTTCACCAGCGACTGTTCCATAATAAAACCGACACCAAGAATAAGAAGCCGAGCAAAGCCGAGTCCGACAGCCTCCTTCGAGTCCATCACAGATGAAATTCGCGAAATGACGAAAGAAAAGACATGAAGATTGGGGGGGAGGCTGACGATCTGGCTAGGTCCGCTTGCCTTTCGTTTCCCCTCGGATTCCAAAAAGCATCCCATTGGCTGGCGGTCTCGTGACGCCCGTGACTCCCTCTCGCTCCCTCCCTCTCGGGGAGAGTGACGCGAAGGTCGAATTGAAACAGGCGGGGAGATGCAGGGCCTCCGCCTTCCATATGGACAGGCGAGAACAGTTCAAATCGTTCTGCTCTTTCTCCCACCCGTTCGGCATTCCCTCTCTCGGGAGCTAAGAAAAGTCACAGCTGAATTTGAGGCTTAGTGGGGAAGCGCAACGTAGATATATAACTCATATAACTCATCCGCATCGAAAGACGTACTGGTACGCATCGTTCCGTGTCCTTCAGCCAAGCCGATGGAAAGCAATGACTCGTAGGCCATCCTATTCTGTTCGGGTCTATTTGACCCGAAACACTCATTCAACCCGATGTAACTTCGATGCATTTCATCGAAAAAAATCTGATTTTTTAAATTACTTTTCCTAACTTTTTGAACATATTTACGACCTCAAAGCCGAACTCGTTTCCATGAAGCATTATTGAAATATTTGTGATACCCCCTCCTGTTATGCTCGGGTCTATTTGACCCGATTGCCAAACTAGTGCATTTTCAACACGGGTTACACTATCTTGAACCTTCTCGGAACAAGCTTCCGGAGCACTTGCTGTTGAGAAAGGTAGTGATTCTCAGTCAAGTGTTCTGCCAGTTCTGGGAAAGTGCGGATTCAATCTGATTTCGGCTACAAGAGCCCATCCGGGTCGCCGCGTGACTTCTTGTTGCATTACACCCTCTCGGAGCATCTTCTTCTCTCCGTCCTTCTGTTGCTGCGTTTGCCTTGGCATGTCTCTCATGTTTTAGGAATCCTAAGGGGGGGGGGGGGGGGCGATTTAGCTAACAAGCTCGCTTATTTACCCTATATGAAGTTTCTGCATTCGGACCTAAGGCGCAGATCTGGTTCCAAGAAATACCTCAAAGAAAGGAAAGACGTATAATCTCCGTCGATATTCCCGAGGACAAACTTTTCCCCCGAATCCCGATAAATTGAAAGCAGCAGGAATCGCTTGGGAAAAACCGCACGTGACAAAAGTTATTCCCGTCCTCAACGTGGGAACTGGCAAGGCGTCTGCGAGGAAAATCATTCGACGACCGGCGTTCAATCGAAGATGAAGTGGTTCGTCGTCCTCGCGTTGCTTCTTCCTCTGGTTCTCTCTCAAGGTAAATATCGTTCGATATGATGCGAAGGATCCGGTTCCGTGACGTAATGTTGAAAGTCAGAATGTCGTCAGAGTTTATGTCGACTGGCAAAATGTCGATCGCTAGAATGCTGAACGCGTGAAAATCGTAGAAAATCGTGGAAATATCGAAATCTGAACGAGCTCCGGGCAATTCTGTTCTTTCGGTTCTGAAAAAATCTACGAGAGCAGATTTCTTCTTGTTCCACGGGGCAACCGAGACCGTCTCGGTCGACTCATCTCCTGTCTTCATCGACCAGGACTGGTGTTGATCAAATCGGTAGCAAGCGCCCTGTCGCACAAATCCGTCGGTCGAATCGGGACCGGATCCACGACCAACCCTCGATCGCTGGTCGTCCATTGATTTTTATTCACTCGTGATTGGTGCACGAAGATCACGTGATTGGTGTTGCCACGCTCGAGTCCTTGCGTCCCCAAACTGAAGAAAATGGGACCGGAAGGGCGCGATGCTCATTCCGCATGATAGCTCGGACGTTGAGAAAAATTCGCGGCGGCGATAAGCGTCGATGAAGTTGTTTTGTTGTCGTTGTTTTGGAGACATCAGCGACGGAGGAAAAAATATTCACTTCGGCGTGGCTCTCACGAGACATTCTGACTTTCGCCGTTTCGGGAAGCCGACACGAGTCGGTGATCGACGGTCGGACTGTCGACACGTGCGACTTCAACATTTCGTCAGGAGACAGGCAGATCCATCTGTCCGCAATTCGCACTCAGTTTTTTTTTGTATACGGGAAAATCTTTGTCAGAGAAATGCCGGAAGTTGAATTAAATGCTGTGAAATGATGGCCATTATAAATCGTAAATCCAGTAATGTGTTTTCGTGGAATGCATTTGGCGCAATGGGTAGAAAAATATAGGTTTAATCCATGTCATTACTACTCGATGGGAAGGCGTCTCATTCAGTACTTACATATAATGGCGATACACCCTATATAAGTACTGAAAAGAACTTTCCCATTTTTTAAGTCATTAAAGTCAGGCCTAATTTTTCTTCCACTTGCATCACATTTGCTCCATAAAGTTTTAGGACTTTTCTGTTCGCGTGAATTCTAAAAAAATACAGAACTTCTATCAGTGGCGGATGAAGGGGGGCGAGGGGCGACCGCCACTTATAGCAAGGTTAGCCTTATTTTAATTTGTAAAAACTTAATAAGCATCTACGTTAATTTTTATTGGGGCCTGTGAAATAGATATCCAAGTTTTTACCCCAGACGAGAAATGAAAAAGGGTAAGACGGGTAGTGGTGACAGGCGGGGGGGGGGGGGGGGGGGGGGGGGGGGGGAAGGAGGGAGGAACTAGGGAACCGCCCATCCCCAATATATTTTTCTGCATCCGAACCTCTTGGCTCCTACACGGCACTTGATCCCCAAGATTGCGGTGGGAATCCCCGGATCGTGACCCGCGAGGAATGGGGTGCCCGCCCCCCCTCCTCCTCGTCCTCCATGCCCACCCCCGTCCCCTTTGTCATCATCCACCACACCGTCACCTCCCATTGCTTCACCGTGGAGGCGTGCATCCCCGTGGTGCGGCAGATTCAGAACTATCACATGGACACCAACGGATGGGAGGACATCGGATACAGGCAAGGAAACTCCATTTCCAATCCGCGCGGCAACTGCCAGTGTTGCCGGAATACGATTTACTCAACACTTGCTTGTATTTTATTTCGTGCAGGAGTATCCATTACAATATACATGACAGGGATGATTCAGTCACTTCTAGGATGTTCATGTGCATGATCCTTACAAAATAGGAACGAAGCGCGAGCAGCAAATGAGCTCAATTTCAAGAACTGTGACAGGATTTCATTTCTGCATTTCGTTTAGCTGTACGATAATCAAGATTTATCCCAAGCAAGCTTCGTCGCTGTCAGCTGCCGAACGAAAATAGTAGATGGCTGTTTTGATTATAAGCGACTCTGAAATCGATGATTGATGGAAAAAAAATTCGTAGAGGAATGGAACAAGTTCGTGCTTTATTTTCCTTCGTGGCCCCTTCCTCGCATCGTCAGTCAAGTCGAAGGAGAGAGTGATTTGCATTTTCACTTCATCTCGACGGGTGATCTATTTTCGGCGAGGAACGTTTCACGGGAACGAGTAATGTAAACGAACAGTAACGATTCGATTTTTACGCGACAATCGCATCAAAATGCAATTTATTTACTTACGATTTCGTGCCACAGCTTCCTGGTCGGAGAAGACGGGAACGTGTACGAGGGGAGAGGATGGGACAAGGTCGGGACTCACACGCCCGGCTTCAACAGCCGAGGCATTGCCATCTCCGTCATGGGGAACTTCATGGGTCAGTCGCCGTCCTGTTCTTCTGGGGGGGATGCAGGGTTGCGAGATGCAGGGTTGTGAGATGCAGGGTTGCGAGATGCAGGGTTGCGAGGTGCATGGAGGAATGATGGTTTGCCCTCGAATGCCTTTGGTTAACCCCGAAAAAAATGAGCAATGAGGCCGACATCGGAAGACGGAATGAAACAACGAAAAATGAAGTTAATAAGAAAAATGAAGTCAATAAGAAATTACCACTTGTTCCGCCATATTGCCGTCACTCCATTTTGATACCTCCTCGACGAACCTTATTCGGTGTTGGTGCAGGCCCATCAATCCATCGCCTTCCTCGTTTTGCGGCCCTTGTTTTTCCCGTGGAACCAGAAACGCGCCGGAAGGGAAGGCTCTGAGCTCGGAAGCATCGCCCTTTAGTATTCAAGGACCTTGCTAATGGCATTCATTCCGTGTTCCAGGAAGCTCTTTCGCTTCTATCATTTCCAGCCCTCAAAGGAACTCCCTGCTCTATTAATCATATTTCTCTTTTTCGTTCCTGTGATAATCGAAAGCACTTTCCCAGAAGAATTCATTTGAAATTTCTCCGTCTCTCTCGGCAGCCCGTATCAACCTTATCCGAATTTTGCCCGAATATCGCATGGCATTTCCAACCAGTTCTTCGAACCCGAGCGATCGACTCGTCCCGCGATGGTTTACCTTTCTAACCACTTTTTTTTTAAATATAACGTCAGTGCTTTTTCTACGAATACAGCAAATTCAAGCGCTAAAAAAAAATTCCTTACACCAATAATATAAGTATAATTTGTTATAATTTCATATTTATTAATTGCTCCTTCCGTCAGAGGTGCTCCCGAACTCGGCGGCCCTGACCGCGATCGAGCGTCTGATCGAGTGCGGGACCGGACTCGGGATGATCCTCGGCGATTATTCCCTGATGGGACACAGGCAGGCCAGCGACACTCTCTGCCCCGGGGATTTCCTCTTCGACGAGATCGAGACGTGGGGTCACTTCGACCCTTCGCCTGAGGAGCGCGGTCGGGCTGGGTTCGAGGAATAAAGGACTGAGGGGCACTGAGGATCTCTTGTGACTGGGAATCGAGGGGGTGGAAGGGAAAGTGGTCTGACAAATGAAAAATGGCAGAAATGGTCCGAGGAAATCGGCATTTGGTGAATTGGCACGATCCTCTTTCCCTTGAGGTGAGGATGGGAGTTTCGGGGATTTATATAAACGAAAAGTTGGTCGATCTACGTCTACCGCTTTTCCTCGCTTTTAAGAAGGAAAACTAAAATATCCGATTTCTTCCTCTGGAGCTGAAGGAACGAATCGTTTCGCAGATAGACCAGTTTTATTTTTAGCCTTTTCATTGTCACGAAGTTTCTTGCAAGCCTAACGCCAAACGTAGCAGAACCGCCTGAAAAGCAAAGATAAGCAACACACCCACACCCCACACCGTCCTGGAAACTATCGAGACTGGCATGAATGCGAGCCGATTCGAAGCATTGAAAAAGGAAATGTGCCCTGACCACCGCAGCCGTCGTCTTCTTCAACCTTCTACCACCTTCAATCCGCAGGCGTAAAAAATGGGAGTCGATGAAACGTTCGCCTCGCATCAATCCCTAGCCTTCACTGCAAAGGTAAAGTGTTCATGACTCCAATTAAAACCGCTCTTCGCGAAACGAGAGCCTGAAACCCCCCCCCCCCCCCTCGGCGCCGGTCGAAGCGAAACTCATCAGCCGAATGGTTCGAGGAAACGCTAATCAATTATGCGCGGTTTCTCTTCTTCCGTCGCGTGTAAATGCCTTTCCAGAAGGCCATTTGAGTGCGTCGCGGGCGAAGTGGTTCATGAAGATGCATGTCTTTATGCATTCGCAGGCGAAACATGGAATTACGTTCTAATTTCGTTTCCGTGGAATTACGTGCGCCAACACAGTCATTTTCAGTGGGCCTCCTTTCCTGAAAGGAAAAAAGACCACTTATGGTCCCGTCCCGTCCTGTCCGTGTGTGTGTGTGTGTCCTTACGACATTTTCTCTACCCTAAGTCCACCAGGAGGATTTGGATGATTCCACATGTGGATCAAGAGGATCCACATAGAGTCCACATTAGTCCCAATGTGAACAAGTCCCCTGGTGGTACAGTCCACACTAAGTCCACACTACTCCACATGGGTAACTGTCATTCCACACGTGGATCACCCGTAGGATTTGGATAGTCCCCTGGTGGACTGCATGGGGATTTTTCGTATGGGTGTCTGTGTTCACACCTTGGTTGTCCAACGCTAACTAAAAAATATTGGCCTGATCACTGCAAAGATTAGCCAGCAGATAGATATGGACACGATAAAAAATTGAGTCCGTCTTAAGACGAATTTGAACAAAAAATGAATTTTTATTAATAATTTTGGATTTGAAATTTGGGCACGATTAGCCGTGAGCCCTCAAGGATCTGGACCGCAATGCTCATGCGCGTATGATCCAGGCGACGGGCGCATTGCCGTGTCAGCAACCAGAGCCATAGAGCACAGCGCATAACAAGACTAGCGGCCCTCTCATAAGCGGAAATGTGAAAATGTTCACAATGATAAGAAGTTCGGTTCGTGCTAAACATTAAAATAAACCATTTTTGGACTAGTGTATGACCCAGAATGACAGAGCCTTGTAGGCCTGGCGCTTCAGGCCGTGCATGGCCTAGTCAATAAGATAGAATGGCACAGCATCGTAGGCCTCGCGCGTTAAGAATGTCAGCCACCACAACTTTCGGCCTTTTTCAATTAAAGTATTAATGCGACACTAAGAGGGGGAGGGGGGTCGAAATATTACAGAGACATCTGGTGGCTTGCCTTGTGGCAGCGGAATCGGGAACCGACTCGTTCGAAGATTCGACCCAAAGGGATCCCTCAACGTAACACGCGTGTCTCGTCGAGTCCGCTGCTCGGCCGTGGAAGAGGAGCTGATGGCGCCTGCAAGTTGGAGGATCGACAGCGACATCTATATTGCGACCCTGTCAACGAATAGGATTCGAGCGGAGCCTCTAGTTACACTCTGCTCTAGGCCGGAGCTGTCAGTTTTCCTTGCAGCCTTCGTGGCGGATGGATCCAAGCACGCACGGCCCTCCATTCTCTCCTCATCGTTTCGTGGGCACCGTTTGTTTGTGTTTATCGAATCTAACAAAGGAATTAGATTTGTGATTGTCGAGGACAGGAAACAGATGCAATTTGTTCTATTAGGCGATAAAATGAGGGTCCTCTTATGAGCGTGTCGTTTTCTTCTTAGAGCGAGCGTGAGGACGCGTTTGGTCTCGTATGTTTCTAAAGGCAAGACGCGCAGGGAAGACCAAGGGCGAAATGCCCCGAAGGCAAGACCCACACGGGAACAGGCAACTGCTTTGCGAATCCCAATTTTAGAATTCCGTTTCCCTCTCTGTCTCTGCTGCAGGATTGGACGGGATGAGAGCGAGAACTTGGCCTGACGCACGAGGCCTTTAGCCTAGGCCTACATAGGCCATAGGCTGAGGGGAAGAACATGGGACGATGCGTAGCAATACGTGCGTGGATGCGAAGGAGTTAAAACGAATAAAAATTCCTTTCCGGAACTGGACAGCTAAAAGATGAGATTGAAATTTCATCCCTTGAAATTCTATCATCCGCGAAGGACAACCGCGATTACCCGGAAAGTCATATTCGTCATGGGAAAATCGTCCTTCAGCTCTGATCCGATCCAATTTCTTGCAGACTTTGTCGCTTTCACCCGTCCGCGCTGACGTTGCCTCGAAGAACTGAGGGCGGCCATTGGTCAATTTCTCTCCGTCGCGGGAGGAAATGGACCAATGGCCGATGGACCTTCGCGCCGTTTTTGGATCATCCTCAACGAGCAGATCGACAATAATATCACTCGCAAAAAAAAGTTTCATGATTCATCTCAAACAAGACGGTAGGTCTTCTCAACTCAAAGCGCATTGTGGTGTAGCCTGCCAGACTCCCAATCATTCAATAAATCCCTATTAATGGATAAAATCCGAGAAAGCGTGACTAGGTCGACAGCTTGATTCCCCACCACAGATAAACTTGTCTACTCTGGGACCAGTGCGATGAGAGTCGAGCCGGATCCCAGGAAGCACGACACCTCGAAAATTAACGACCGGAATCCCAGGGAGAACAGTTTCCCAGGAAAAAGGTTCAGTCGAAACACGAAGTTTAAGATCCGAGATGGTTCTTCTCGCTCTCTCCATCGAAAGTCTGAACCCACTCTCGTCTTTCTGCTCGGCGCCCGTTAGGCGGCGCAAGAATCTCTCGGCAACGGCCTCAATCGAACTCAGCCTTTAACCCGTCAGATGGACCTTGCAGAGCATTTTGAATCGCCGAGAGAATCCCTAAACCTTCTCGTCACCAGGTTTCCGACATCTTAATTATCGGAAACGTCTTCCAGGAACTAAGGAACGAGCTGAATCCAGGAATCCGCGGCCCTGGAGTTCCATCATCGCTCCTTCGCGCTTTCGACGACCGGGTCTGTTCCCCGAAAGGTGCCGGTTCGAGAACCGAGGTGAGGTCTGATCTTTTCAAACCTTTTCAGTCGTAGGACTCCAGAGGTGCTAACATTTAGTGCTAAGCTGACCATTACAGTCGACCAAAACTGCTTCAAATTTTGTTTAAATCACTTATGAGAACTCTACTATCCAGCACTTCCGACTAGAAAGAAACTGAATTTAGTCTGACTAAATGTGGAGCAGTACAGACAGGTGAAATGTCGGGCAGGAAAGTTCTCTCAACACCACAATGTGAGGAATCATTCTAAGAGGAAAACCGGAAATTGCTTGGTCCCCGGGGCAAAATGTACCAAGAATAGAAAATATAATCAAGATCTCACTTTTTTTTTCATCATCGGGCTATTCTTTCCATTTTTAATTCCAGAGAACTTCTGGCCTAGCTTCGAAGGGAATCGGAAACTTTCTGGCAGGATCTTGAAAAGTCTTATTTGTCTCATCTAAACTACGTGAAATTGAGTCTTCCTTCGCGCCACGTGGGAGTTTGAAGATTAGCTTAGCAATTTCCACCAAGCAGACTCGATTCAAGAAATTGGAAGGCCAGAAGCCGTCTTTTAATTCTCTCTAAATTTGGCGATCCTTTTGTCCTTGCCCTTCATTCTCATTGTCCTTCGTTCGTTGCATCAGGAAAATGTTTCATGTCTGGAATCTCCATTAGAATAGGGTCGCAAGCTTGTGCCCGGGACGATTCTCGTTCATGGAAAGTTTGATAATGCTCTGAGGGCATTTCACTTGGACTCAGTTGGATCAGCAGTCAGCGGGCCAATGGGCCCGATTTCCGCCTGGTCGTATGGGTTCAATCCTCGCACCCGGAAAAAAAAAATCGTATCTGATGAGCCAGGGACGATGCGTCGCGCCGTAGTCAACGGCGGCGAAACGCCGTTGGTGCGGCGCATTAGACACAGTTCACAATTTTTGCCGGTGGTCCGTTTCGAGCAAAGGCCAAAATCACCCAGTGTTCTAAAGGCAGGAAACGTGGCCATGCAGCACAGGCTTTTTACGCTTTCAAGCCTGACAATTGGAATGCGATAGGGACGTAGGCCATCGGGCAGCAATGGTGTTGCCTTTGGGAAACTCGGTAACATGAGAAGATGCCCATACACCCCCTCCCCCCCGTTGTTACTCCAATCTTTTTGATGGAAACTCATATTGGAAGGAGGAAAATGATCTTATTGTTCTTGCTGCGTAATACTGGGAAAGACGTACTCTCATATCCTGAGAGGAGCGTCGTAAACCCCCAGGGACACGGAACTTCCTAGACAAGATGATCCGATAATCCCTCCCCTTCCCTTGGAGTTTCCCCCCTCGTAAGTCGCCAGCCCTTCCGTCTCCCCCGCATCCGGTTATCCGGTCCGAGACGGACAAGTTTCTGGCGGCAATCCAGGATGGGGGCTGTCGACCACAACCATTTCATCGGGTCCTTATTTTCTCTCTCTCTCTCAGCCAGACGCGCGAGGCCTATAGGCTTACGCCTTTCCAGTCCATAGGCTAGATGGAAAGACATATCATTATACAA